ATTCGGGTTATATCTTTTCACTTAAATATGATTTCTGTAATTTCGATGCATTAGGCTAATTTTATACATTGCTAGAATGAGATGAACCCTTGTTATTTTAGTTTTTAATTAATTATTTTGAATTTGATTGATTTGATTTGTGGATGTTTATTATTGTTTTTATCGTTATTTTCAATTGTTTGATTACCAATTGAATTGTTAGTAGATTTTATTGTTATCGAAAGAGACAATAAGGTTTAAGCACAATATAATAAATATTGTAAGGATCGATAGAGGATATAAATATATTCCTAAAAATTCTATAGTTGGAGGAAAAAATCACTACAAGAAAAACATTTTTTTTGCAACAGACAAAACATATTGCAGTAGGTATTCTACAACGCTCATCCGTATACTGTAGGCTCTAATGTTATCGTAGATTAGAAGGATACGACAACGTGCAATGCACTCTGCAAAAGCCCTCATATGTACGTGATTGTAAAGTTTTTACGACTTTCCTTGTCTGTTGCTTTCATTATATTTCGTAACAATCTTTACTTGTCTTCACTTCTTTTTGCAACGTAATTATTATTAATTTTTTGTAACAAGTGTTTTTTTTTTGCCTAACTAAATTTAATAAATTTACGTCTAAAAAAATCATACCCTATGTAATTTTGTATCCGAAAATTTAAATCGAAATTTTCGAAATACTAATTTTGAATGGCTTACTTTGACAAGTCATAGCATTTGCTACGATTGATCGTTTCGTACGCCAGATGTAGAAAATTAGACCTTCAATACTTCAAAATGGTATTAAAAATGCAATATTTCGCCCTTATTTGATAGATAGTTAAGATTTTGTTATATTAAAAAAAATAAAAAATAAAAAAATCTCAAAAGTTGGAGGGGAGGGGGGGGGGGGAACATGCCCCCCGGACCGCCCTGGGTCCTGATTATGTCCATCTATGTTTATCACTAACTGTTCGCAGTGATTTAAGTTAGTGCAAATCTCCTCGGGGAATTACTAGTTCAAGTGCATATTATAAGAAAATGAAATTGTAACCTTATTTTCACTTCCGGAAATCACAAGCAGAGAGAAAATGTCCGCTTCTTAATTGATATTATTATCTAATAATCCGGAACTTTTATTAAAGTTTTAGTGCCTGCAATTTCTTTCACCATTTAATATTGTAATAAAAAGACCTAGTTAGAGAACCCTTTTTTTTCCCCTGGTGGTTCTTCCGACAAAAATGTGGTTATTTAGGATAAATAAAAATTGCTTTTTATTGGTTCTAGTAATCGATTCTTTCTACCAGAAAAATGTTCTTGTGGGAAATATATATTAGTACCTCATATGATAACAGTTCTCCAGAAAAATGTTCTTGTTGGAAATATATGTTAGTACCTCATATGATGACAGTTCTCGAGAAAAAAGAAAAAAAATTAATTTATTTAACATTTAAAAAAATATATAAATAGATAATATGAAGTTCGTAAAAAAAATTTGCATTATGACTACATTGAATAATTATAACTCAACTTTTAAAATTGACTTATAGAAATAGATTGTCAAAGTCATCGCAAGTCCCAGAGCTTTGTTTGAGACAAAAAAAACAAAAAACAGCAAGCCGCCAGCAGATCTATTAATCAGCAATTGCCTTAATATGGTTTTGGCCTTTGAGTAAGTGCAAGTGTACAAACAGTCTTCCACCTGTACCCTTGAAAGCATAACCTGCGATTTACCTCCTTCACCAATGCCCAGGACAGGGTGGGTGGAGGGCGTCAAGGATGCGGTTCATCCTTTATTAATCAGCAATTGCCAACTCCAATGATTATTGAATCAGCATTCTCAGCATTAATTATATTTTATGTTTTCTTTAAAATGTTGTTTTTATATGATAATTTATTATATTTATTTTTGAATTTTTATAAATTTAATTTATTTATGTTTTGGTCAAGAAGATTTGTGTCCTCAGTTTTTTTACCAACTAAACTTTGGTCCATTTGTTAGTTCTGCGAATCACAAGCTGAGAGAAAATATCCGCCACTTAATGATCTTTCTGTACGATATGTAACTTTGAGGGTCCGTTTAATTGCAAATGTGAAATTTGAGTGTAAAGAAAATGAATTACAGAGAATTGAATTGCGTAGAATTTGTTTTATTAGGAATTGTGATTAATTGTGTTTGATTAGTATACCTGGAAAATGTTGAAAGTTTGGTGTTCGTTTTTCATGGAAATTGTCCATTAAATTGATAATTTTTTTTTACTATTGGATCTAGAATTAGTTCCAACTGCCAAATTTTTTTTTTTTTAAAAAAAAAAATTATCATATCGAATACCATTCGTTTGACTTTATTTTGCATGAAAATAGTCAATAAAATTGATAAATTTTTTTACCATTGTGTCTACAATTTTTTTTAATAGCAAAAAATAAATAAATATATATATAAGGTAACCTGGAAAGCCATTCCCCACCAAAATGGTGGGAATTCATTTTCATCAAAATCATAGAAATTGTCACTGTGTGAGGCCAACCAAGAAAATCAATTCTAAGGAAAAAAAATTGCCATCGAACAATGCTAAAGTGGAAGATGGAAATTGGTATTTATAGAGCGACAAGCAGTTTCCAAACGGTTTTACAAGGAAAACTGACAAATGAGTATAAAAGGAAAAAAAGAAGACATAGAAGAAAAGACTCTGAATCAATCACTCTCAAATAGAGAATATGTAATTTTACCTCTTTTAATTCTTATCGTCAATCTTCAAATTGTTTTGTGTGGTTGTGCCCCTTAGAGGCTTTTAATTTTACTTCTTTTAGTTCTTATCGTCAACTTTCTTCTTCATTGTAATCCTCATAAATAAAGTATCCCTTGTTAGGATTTTGTCCGAAGAGATTTGTTCTTTATACAATCGTCTGAATCATCTTTTAATTGTTAGCGAGACTCGATAATCCGTGCGAAACAGAACCCTTTTTTTCCCTAGTAGTTCTTCTACATTGACGTATAATATGACAAAAAGGTGGTTATTTAGGATAAATAAATTAACGAAAAATAACCAAGATCATTACGATTCCTTCAACCAGATAAATGTTCTTGTGGGAAATATATAAATATATATTAGTACCTCATATGATGACAGTTCTCCAGAAAAAAGAAAAAAATAATAATTTATTTAACATTTAAAAAAATATACAGATAGATAATATGAAGTTCGTAAAGAAAATTTGCATTCTGAGTTATGACTTATGACTACATTGAATAATTATAACTCAACTTTTAAAATTGACTTATAGAAATAGATAGTCAAAGTCATCGCAAGTCCCAAAGCTTTGTTTGAGGAAAAAAAAAAAAACAGCAAGCCGCCAGCAGATCTATTTAATCAGCAATTGCCAACGCCAGTGATTATTGAATCAGCATTCTCAGCATTAATTATATTTTATGTTTTCTTTAAAATATTATTTTTATATGATAATTTATTATATATTTTTTTTTGAATTTTTATAAATTTAATTTATTTATGTTTTGGTCAAGAAGATTTGTGTCAGTTTTTTTATCAACTAAACTTTGGTCCATTTGTTAGTTCTGGGAATCACTAGCAGAGAGATTATCCGCCCCTTATTTTATCTTTATGTAATAATCTATCCAACAATCTGAAACTTTTAGGGTCTATTTTGTTGCAAATGTAGAATTTGGGTGGAAAGAAAATTAATTACAGGGAATTTAATTGTTTACAATTTGTTTTATTGGAAATTGTAATTAATTGTGTTTGATTGGTATAATTTTCACCTGAAAAATGTTGAAAGTTTGGGGTTCGTTTTTATGGAAATTGTCCATTAAAGTGATAACATTTTTTTACCATTGGGTTTATAATTTGTTCCAATTACCCAATTTTTTTTTTTTAAAAATATTACCATACCGAATACTATTCGTTTGACTTTGTTTTGCGTGGAAATAGTCAATAAAAGTGTGAGGCCATTTCCCACCAAAATGGTGGGAATTTATTTTCATCAAAACCATGAAAATTGTCACCGTGTGAGGCCAACTAAGAAAATCAATTCCAAGGAAAAAAATTGCCATCAAACAATGCTAAAGTGGAAGATGAAATTTGTTTTCTATTTTCCATGGAAAATTTTGCACAATCAAATAGGGCCTAACTGAAACTTTATTATAAGTTGAGTGCCTGCAATTTCTTTCACCATTAAATATTGTAATAAAAAGACCATTTTGAGGTGGTCCTTCTAAGCAGATATATAAAATGACAGAGACGTGGTTATTTAGCACAAATAAATTAATGAGCAATAGACCTAGATTATTACGCAACCAGTTAAATGTTCAGTTTGTTTACGCACATTCTCCAGGAAAAGTATTTATAAATCGCGTTTAAAATCAACTTACGCGCATTTTGTTTGTAGATATTAATCAAGAAATTTAATATTCACTTAACCATGTAAGACCTAGGGGTTCCACCTTAAAATGTCAACTTTATTAAGATGAGTAACTCAAGCACTTATAATTTGGTCTATATTTTTATTTTTATTCGATGTGGGATTTTATCTCTTAACTTGCCCCCCATAAGATAGTGGTTCATTTGATCAAATCAATCTTGAAATCTGTGTACTCATTTTTGGAGTTTCAATTGGATCAAATTGTTTCTTTGAATTTAATGGACTCCGTACCATATTAAGATTTGAGGTCAACCTTGTTAAGAAGAGTAGTCCAATACTTATAAATTGATTTATATTTTCACATTTATTCGATATTGAATTTCATCCCTTGGCATGTTATAATTTCGTGGAAGCTTTCCACGCCTATATATATTATGATACACATGGTCTTTGACCAGTGCAGCAGTTTATAATAGTTTTGACCCCATGCATACTTAATTAGCCCTGATCAGAGCTATAAATATATCCCTTAAGTACACAAGCTTTATCCAAAAGCGAAGCCAGAAAATTGCTTAAAAGTACTCTTGAATTTTCTTTAGTTTGTTTCTAAACACAGGCATTTATATATAAATATTATGAAGAAGGCCTCGTCCTCCGTTCAGATACAGCCCTCTACTTATGGAAATCTGATCACAATTCTGAGCATTGATGGGGGTGGTATTAGAGGAATTATTCCTGCCACTATCCTTGAATATCTTGAATATCAACTTCAGGTAATTCACTTTTAAATAACTTTGTTCCTATTTTTATTTTTCGAAAAAAATGACGCTGGACCATTTTATTCAAAAGTTTAAACTGTTAGAGAAGAGGTTCATTCATTTATTTAAAAGTTCTCATCAACGTATCCAACATTGGGTTGGGCTAGATTCATTTTTTCTTCAAAATCTTGACTAATTGATTATTTTAACAAAAAGTTAATAGTTAGATTTCAACGCAATATCTTCGGTTACCCTAATACTACTTTATGTTTATTAGATAGCACAAAAAATTATTTTTTTTCTTTAATCAATATCTTCGGTTAATTACCCTAATACTCTATCTCTGTTAGATAGCAGACATGCCAAACACCTATGCTTTTCTTAAAAAATAATAATAATCATAATCATAATTAGTTTCATCACGTTTTTGATGATAACTTAGCAATTTTAATGTTTAGGTGATAGTCGTTTCTCAAATAAAATTTTAAGTTATTTATTTACTTACTTTTTTTCTTCACACGAATCACTTGACCAAATTGATATTATAGTTATATTGTTAATGATCTAATATTTATATTTTATATTTGAAACTAATCAGAGACAAACACCAACATATTCATATAAAACATATCTAATACCAAGTTGCCCAAATTTTAAAATGGAAGAGATGTTAAAGATTCCATAACAAAATGCATATATGATATACTACATTGAACCATGTACAAAAAACTAATAACTAGAAATATGTGTTCTTGGTTGCCAGGTGCTTGATGGCGAGGATGCTAGACTTGCAGATTACTTTGATGTTATTGCTGGAACAAGCACGGGAGGTCTAGTAACTGCCATGTTAACCGCTCCTAACAAAAATAACCGTCCGTTGTTTGCAGCTAAAGATATCAAACCCTTTTATCTCGAGCACTCCTCTAGAATTTTTCCTCAAACGAAGTATGAATTATACTTTAGTAGTACAACAAATAGTTACATTTTATATTAATCTTATTGATTATATGACCATATTTTTATTGATGAGCACATGTATTTGTATTGGTTTCGAATTGTAGTGGCTTACTGGGATTGGTCGGAAAACTATCGAAATTTATAGTCGGACCAAAGTACGATGGAGAGTACCTTCACGAAGTTATTAGGGAAAAACTAGGCGAGACTCGACTGGATGAGACATTAACTAATGTTGTCATTCCAACATTTAACATCGAAAATTTGCAACCAATTGTTTTCTCCACATATCAGGTCTACCATTCTTTTCACCATTCCTTTCCTCCAACTGTATTTGTCTGATTATATTCTTAATAGTTCATGATTGTTCAAGAACATTGAACACTAGAGTGCGAATATTTTTGTTTGTGATTTTTCCATCCGATAACTTGAAACTATGATATTGTAAGTACTTACTTGAGGCTTCTCAATCTATTCAAGAGCCTTAGACAAAATTTTTGAGAGTGTCTTTTCCAAAATGAATAATAATAAATTAAAATAGAGCAAACAATTACAATAAATAATTCTGCCAATAATTGCTAATGCTCATAATGTTGGATATCATCAATGCAAATACATGAGCGACTACCGACGATAATGTCGTCTACGATGTCATCTGTAATCATTGACAACGTTTCAATCTATGATTGCCTACGAAGAAGCTGTTGATAATCTATCATTGGTACAAAATTTTATTATTTCTTTATTTTCTTAACAAGTTACTACAAGAATACTGATAATCTATATATCTTTTTATTTTTCATTTGTAACACTAGTGCCTGATATTTAATATCTACCTAATTTTTTACTATCTTTTTAAAATGTTATTCCCAGATTTCAAATTTCACATTGTTCATGAACAACTCGTTTGTCTAGAACTTGAGCTAGATCTATATAGGGTACAAAAAGAATTGAGACAAACATGAAATTTAATGTAATTTAGTCCTCATATATGTATATACAGGCCATGAGGACGCCATCGTTGGATGCTCGACTCTCAGATATATGCATTGGCACATCTGCAGCTCCAACTTATCTTCCTGCATATTTTTTCAAGAACCAATATAAACAAGGCAATGAACAAGAGTTCAACCTCGTAGACGGTGGTGTTGCTGCCAATAATCCGGTAAACTAATTATCATTAATATTATCGTACAGTATACACACGTACATACACATATACAAATATATACTTATACATACATTCATACAGAACAATACCATTGAATTTTATATAATAAAATAAATGAAATGAATATTTACATACTTTGTTTGACCATTTCAATATATTATGGAAATCCATTCAATACTAGTCATTTTTTTAACTTTCACTAATATTTACAAAATTTTATGTTTTCTTTTATCAGCAAATATATTATACTTAAATTTTACAAATATCATTCAGAAATAAATCGTTTATTAGAAATTAAACATTGTTTTTTAAATATTATAGAAATTAAAGTTGTTTGTTGAAATTTCTCTTTCTTTTACTCATAACAACGGAAATGTCAAAATCTTATCTTTTCTCGAACCCTATATTTATGCAGGCATTAGTTGCCATCAACCAAATTACGAAACAGATTTTGGATGGAAACCCAGATTTCTTCCCAATTAAGCCTATGGATTATGGACGCTTTTTAGTCATCTCAGTGGGCACAGGCTCGTCAAAGGCACAGAAGAAATATAGTGCTCAAAAGGCAGCCAAATGGGGAGTTTTCGGATGGTTGTTGAATGGAGGTTCCACTCCAATAGTAGATGTTTTCACTCAAGCCAGTGCTGATATGGTGGATATGCATATTTCCGTTGTTTTCCAAGCATTTCATTCTCAAGAAAACTACCTTAGAATTCAAGTAAGATTGACATTAAACAACATCATTTACAAGCTAAAGTTTACTGCAAAATTTTACTCATTCAAATTTTGATCTTGATCAACAAATTGTTGTTTCTAAACACCAGATTTTTTTCATCATTAAATGTCTAACACGTACATAATTTTTTTGTGGTTAATTTAAGATATTTGCGTCTTTTAATACAAATATATAATTGTTCGAGAATTGACATTTTCCTTTTTAATTGGATGCAAGGAGGACACTTTAAATGGGATTGCCGCCTCAGTTGATGTTGCAACAAAGGAAAACCTGAACCGGCTGGTTGAAATTGGCCAAAGTTTATTGAAGAAACCAGTTTCAAGGGTAAACTTAGATTCGGGTCTATGTGAGCCAATTGAAAACGGTGGAACAAATGAGGATGCCTTGAAAAAGTATGGATAAACATCAAAAAATTAAATTACTGATATTTTCCATATTTTTAATACATTTCTATTCATGTTAACAATTTCCTATTCGTTTTGTCTGACAGGTTTGCAAAATTGCTTTCAGAAGAAAAAAGGTTTAGGGAATCAAAGTGACCTTTCAGCAAGGAATTACCTCCGGATAGCCAAATTATTCTACTTGGGGATTGTTTGTCATCAATCATTAAGACATTTATTAATAATTATTTAGTTCATACAGAAATTGTAGCATTATCGTTTGAATTTTAAAATATCTGTGAAGAAAGTGTGTAATATTTATCTTATAATAAATAAATAAATATATATATATATGCCCAATAAATAAAATGATAAGATGTTTATTTGTTTAATTAATGTGAAAATATTTTTTCTAACTATTCGTGACCATTTAAATCGACAAAACTTTATATTTGGCCGTTGGAGTCCCCCAACAGTAACTGAATTATTATTAATTTTTTAACTGTATAAATACTTCACAACTTCAATTCATTTTTCACAGAAGCTATCTACTCTCTTCTACATTCTCTCTACAATCAAATATCAAATTACTATCAATTCTATTACATACACATACACATTTATTACATTCAATTCTATTATCTATATTCTCTCAATTCTATTCTCCACACTACATATTCAATTTATACATTTCATCTTCAATCAAATTACATTCTCTACTATAATTTTACTTTATCTTTATACATTTCTATTCTATTACATACACGTAGATCCTAATGCATTTGTTGCGGGCTTGTTCGGTGGAAACTCACATATGACACCACAATTTCAATTTCGCAATGAATTTTCCGGTCTCAACAAAATCTCTATTCCTGACGATTTGTTGAGAATGGGCATTGAATATGCTCACTGAAATAGTAATCCAATTGATTTGAAGGACACTAATGAAGTTGTTCCCGAACTTGGAAATAGAAATACCCAATGCAAGAGAAAAGCAAAAGGGAAAAAAAGCTGCAAAGTGTTGGGGAATATTTTAAATTGATTTCAACATGTTCAAGAGTGTAAAGTAATGTGTAAAATATTGCTAAACATGATTGATATGGCAAAAGGGTATCGGTACTACTCACCTTAACCGTTACTACCTCAAATGTACGGTCAAACATCGGCTTTTTAGTAGATATCAAACACAACTACATTTTGTACTCCTTCTTCCAGTACTACTTATACAAAATTTAGCATATGGATGTATGTAGAGGAAAAAACTCGTGAAGGAATAGTGGAGTTCGTTGCTGGTACTGAGTTGCCGCTAAGCATAGTGGACAACGACCATTTCATAACATTCGTGAAGGAAAATCTTCACCCAATGTAAATTGTGATAAATAGGAACACTCTTCGTTCTGATACTATAGATTATTTATTAAAACCAATAAACAATTGATTCATGATTTACATAAATATGGTGTCGTTATATAGTTTACTTCAGACTTATGGGAAGTTATTAATAAAAAAGATTATATTGCTGCAATTGCACATTATATAAACTCACTTTGGATTATGTATAAAAAAATAATTGATTTTAAGATAATTGAGTTTCTTCGCAATGCTAACGACATTTTTAATGCTCTTATGCAAATTATCAAAAAATATCGTTGTGAAAGTAAAATTCGTTCTTTTACGTTTGACAATGTTTTAATAAGATGGTTATAGATAAACTTTGTAGGGTTCTTAATCCTGATTTTGGTGATTTTTTATTTCATGTTTGTTGTATATGTCACTAATATATAGCACCATATCATCAAGTAGGAAACAAGAATTTAAGGAATATTGTACACGAATTTGACCAAGATTCCAAAAAAAAAAATAGTAATTGACATAGGGCATAGATGAAACTACGTTTACTTATTATTAAAATCATGTGAAAGATATGAGCATGTAATTATTGAATTTTATAACTTTAGATTTATAAAAAATGATGATGAGTCTGTTTTGATTGATGTTGATTAGGAATTAGCCTTTAAAGTCAAAAGATTTTTGACAAAATTTTATGATTCCACAACTATCTTAAATGGTGTGTATGATACATGCTTGTTTCAGAGTTCTTGAAAGTCTTTTTTCCATTACAAGAACTTTTAATAAATACTGAAATATTATTTTCTATGGAACTAAAATTTAGAAAGTACTAGGAAAGCACATAGGGCATGGCTTTATACTATGTGACATATAACAAAATACTGATAATTCAAGCAACCAGGCTGAACAAAATACTAACTTCTCTTATCCACATCCTATGCTAATTATACCTTAAGCAATGTGTCATAGGCAACAAAATGAAGAGCTAATTCCTAGTACCTTTTAAGGGAAAGCTTCAAGTTCATACACTCGACATCAGAAACAATTGAATAGATAGATACACAGTTTCAAATGAGGTGCAAATACCATCAAAACTATTAACCAGGTAAAAACACATTCCACTCGTTAAATGTAAAGGTAAAGGGATTTCTCCACCAAAAAAGCATTAGTGTTACCCTCTCAAACAAACTCCACATCAAACCAACATTATTAACACCACTTGCAACCACACCGGCAACCACCTATAACCCATTCCTCCCTTGGATTTTTCATTAACCAATAGAAAAATTTGCCCCTTGAAGGTTCAAAGAGAGGCCAATAATTTATACAAAGATCCAAAGAGAGGAAGGGAAAGATGAAGTAAACGTAAAAAGATGCAAAAGAAGGACAGAAATGGAGAGAGAGACCCTAGAAATGAAGAAAAGCGTTGGCAACTTCAGAAAGGGAAAAGATGTGATGCAGGAGGGTCCGAGTCAGATGCTGAGTTGTCAGATAACATGTTAATAGCTCTAAGGTATCACGAGTTGGCAGATTGGGGCAAGGATAGCAAGTGATCGCGTAACTTTGGCAATTAAATCGTGTTTCGGTAATTTGGCCATAACTTTGGCTACGGTCATCAGAATCGCGATTATGACCACAATCTGGAAAGCTCATTTTGGCACACACATTGTGGCCACCCAGCTACGCTCGGTGTGTGCCATTTTCATCCTTAAATTCAGTTGTTTTCCCTTCCGAATTGTTATTTTAAGTTAATTTTTGCTATTTTTGGTAATATTTCGATTACATGTTAGGAGATGATTTTTAACCCGATTTGGGCTTAATTTTTTACAGAATACTTATTTTATTCCATATTTTTGTTTGGCATGATTTTTGGAATTTTACCATTTTTGGTAAAATTCGGATTTTCGCTATAAAGTCCGGCTTGTAGACTTATTTTGATCATTACGTGATATAATAAAATTCTCTAAACTTCAGAGACGTCTTCTCTGCGTTTTTTTGGCGTTAATCTTGTATTCTTCCCTGTGAATTTGCTGGTAGAACTAACCTGCAGAATAATCACTATACTGCCCGGGTCAGTTGGTATCAGAGCTTCAATCTGCTTCTTGGGTGAGATTTCATCAGGTCGAATGGTTGGAGGTCGTGGTCGACGTGGGCAGGTTCCGATTGAGGAAGTCTAACACCATGATAGTAATAATCAGGATGCCACGATTGAAGATTTGAAGAGGCAAGTTGCAGAGTTAACCCAGCGCCTTGCGACGCGCGATTTGGAGGACCATGAGATCTCCTAGCCCAAGTCTGACTCCTCTATTTTTGAAAATCCCTACCACCAACGTGATCTATTTCGGGAGCACCGTGGTCGGGAGGAGCGTTATAGGGATCTCAATTTTCGCGTGGATCTGCCCGAATTTTCTGGTACGTTACAGGTTAAGGGATTTATCGACTGGATAAATGAAGTGCAACGTAAAATTGGTAGTGCCGGATGATACATAAATGATTACAAGGTAGTGCCGGATCGTGTGAAGGTAAAATTGGTTGCCATCAAACTCAAAGGCAGAGCGTCTGCCTGGTGGGAACAGTTGAGGCGTTCTCGGGATAGGCAGGGCAAATCCAAGATTGCTGATTGGGAGAAGATGAAGAAAAAGATGAAGGGTCACTTTCTTCCCTTCGGTTATACTCAAACCTTATTTCAACGACTTTATACGTTGAGGCAGGTTTTGAGATCAATTGATGATTACACAGAGGAGTTTTACCAGTTGGTCGCCCGAAATGACTTATCTGAGATGGAGGAACAGATGGTGGTACAGTACTTGGGAGGGTTGCGCCAACCCCTATAGGATGTCCTCATATTCACTCACTGTGCATTGTGTTGGAAGCATATCAGCGTGCACTTGCTGTTGAAAAAAAGGAGAACAGGAGGCCAGTTCTTAGGAACAATCAGAACAATCGACCAGTTCGCCCTCAGGATTCCCGTCCCATCCAACAGATACCGCAACGTAACTCTAATTCTTTTATTAAGTGTTTTCGTTGTGGTGAACAAGGGCATAGGGCTCCTGATTGCAGGAAGCTTGCTAGTCAAAAGGAGAAAAATTTATGGATTGAGGAGGACATGGTAGATGAGACTGAGGAGATTGGAGAGGCTATGTATAACGATGATGACGTTGATGACGTTGATGATGTGCTGTTTTTTTTTTTTGGTAAAATATCCTAGCTTGAAAATCCAAGCCGTAGGATATGAGTATATTAAAGAAAAACGATTACAATGCAAAGAGGGGGACATATGCCTTACCTCCAAACAAAACTCTTACAATATCATGTTCAACTAACATCTAACAAATCTACGACTTACTCAAGCTTCTAATACAATATCAATCTAAGCAACAAATCTAATAGTCTCCATTCCTATTCTATCAAGTTTCACAATCCCATTGATTCTTCCTCTGAATTCATTAGCTTCAATCAATTCAAACCTTCTCTCACAACAACCTCTAGCAGCAAACCAGTCGGCAGCTCGGTTTCCTTCCCTCCAAGTGTGAGTCAGTTTATACTCCATTTTCTCCAAGAGCTCTCTAATAGATTGTAAAGTGTATTGAACTCCCCAAGGTCCATTATTTTGATTGATCAGTGTTAGAGACACCTTAGAATCAGTTTCAATCCAAACTTTCCTGTATCCTTGTGTCCAGCATAATTTCAGCCCAGTTTCAACCGCTCTGAGTTCGGCTTCCAGTATCGAACATTCACCATAATAATCATAAAATCCCTATATTTGGTCCCCCAGGTTGTTCCTCAGTAATCCACCTCCTGCAGCCAGA